TCCTGTGTGGGCGCATTGTCAGCACTGCACCTGAGCAAACGTCACTTGGATTGTTTATGAAACAGTGAGCTCACTACTTCACTTGGCACAATGCTTTATGTTCATGACTCTCTCTGGCTCTCTGGCTCTGTCTCTCTCTCTCTCTCTCTCTCTCTCTCTCTGGCTCTCTCTCTGATTTTCTTTGCACACAAGGGCTTGAGGGAGAGGACCTCAAATATACAAGAAGAGAATTAATCATGTTCCCCAGTTCATAGTGCACCATCAGTCTACACAAGATTTATCTTTTGGTGGTATTTTTTCCCCTCACTCTGTTTCTGCAATAGGCCTCCCTCTAATTTTTTTTTTTTTTTTTGGTACGTGCCCCTAGCAGGAACCAAACCTGGGACTCTCTAGTCCACAGGCTGATGCTCCAACCGCTGAGCCAAACCAGCCAAGGGCGCTCTCTAATGTATTTTACCCTTACACTCCACCTCTTACCTGTTTGATTTTTTATTTTTTTCTTTATTGGTCTTAGAGATAAAGGAAGTGGTAGGGAGAGAGAAATAGAGACATCGATGAGAGAGAACATCGATTGGCCGCCTCCTGCATGCTCCCACTGGGGATGGGCCCACAACCTGGGCATGTGCCCTGTCTGGGAATCAAACTGGCGAACTCTTGATGCATGGGTTGACACTCAGCCACTGAGCCACACCGGCCAGACACCTGTTTGATTTTATCTAAAAGGTAGAGTGTATGGGTAGGGGGTTGCATTTTCATGAATGGTATTGCAGGTGGCTGTATATATTAGATGATTCCTCCCAGCATCTCAGAGAAGCTCCTGCCTCTCTGGAACTTCCTCCCATTTGGTCCTACTTTGCCCCTGTAGAGCTAAACAGGAACTCACACCTTCCAGCATTCAAGGCAGTCTTCATGACCCCCTTCTGCAGCCTTGACTCCCCTGTCTCACAGGTGTTAGACCGCATTCCCCTTGAAGAGCTTCGACCACTTCGCCTCCCACTGGACAGTGTACTTCTCCGCCCCTAGTGATGATCTCGTGTTGGTGGGAGGGCCAGGAGAGGAACCTGATACCTGTGACTGGCCGTGCATACCACATGATAGCGCAAGAACTGAGATTTGGTTGGAAGTGTGAATTTAGTTGCTCTGGGTTAGAAACCCCTCCCCTTACCCCTTTCTCCCTGGTTGCCAGGTAGGGGAACTGTAAGCCTTTGTGATATGGGGGCACCCTCAGGCAGGGCATCTTGACCCCCACTCTGCACTGGGTTCTTGTGTACACCCCTAGAACCCCCCGTCCAAACAACTGTTGACTCTCCCTTCCTTTGACTTGGATAGAAATGTGCTCAGAATGTACAGGAAGAATTGCAAGCAGTGTACGAGATAGACCGGCTCGGGGAGCAGAGGGTGCCCGTATGCCCACGTGGAATAACCCACCCTCCTCATCCTCTGTTTCTTCATCTTTATGAGCACATTTTACAGACCAGTGCTCTATATTTCTTTACTATTACGGTAAGATTCTCATATCATTAAATTACCCCTTTTAGAGTGAACAATTCAGGGATATTCATATATTCACAATGTATTCCAAACATTAATCATAATGCCAAAAGGAACCCTGCACCATTAGGCAGCTGCCCCCCATTCCCTCTTCCCCTCTGCCTCTGGTAACTCCCAGTCTGTGTTCTATCTCTATGGATTTACCTCTTTTGGCTATTTCTTATAAATGGGATCATTCATTCCATTTTGTGTCTGGCTTCTCTCAGAGAGCATCATGCCCTCAGGTTCCATCCACATTGTCGCATGTATCAGTACTTTATTTTTTTCTAGGTCTGAGTAATATTTTATGGTACTATATATACTGCAATTTGTTGATTTATTCTTCCCTTGATGGACATTTGGGCTGTTTCCAACTTTTGGCTATTGTGAACGATACTGGTATGAAAATACGTGTACATGTACTTGTTTGAGAACCTGTGTTTAGGTCTTTGGAGCATACACCTAGGAGTAGAAATACAGGGTCCTATGGTAATTAAATTTTTAAGAACTTTCAAGATATGTATTTCTTTTTAAAATAATAACTTTATGCAAGAACTTTCCTGCAAATTGAGAGACAGAAAAATTGGGTGGAAAGCTGGGCTAGAAGTCAGGAGATCCAGGTTCTTTTCCACCAACCAGCTGAGACCTGGAGCAAGTCACTCCCTTTCTGGGCTCTCGTTTCATCATCCGAAAAGCATGAAGCTAAATAATTCTTGAATTCTCTCCATCTTTTAAGATTTTATTGGGGGGAAAAATGGGTTCCAGGGAGAATTGTCAAACAGCTAAATAGGATTATCTCGATGTTCTTTTTCTACTGTGTTTTTAAATTGTGAGTTAAAAGTACCCCAAATAATTGGGCTTCTCTCCTGCTGATGTGTCTCTAGTCAATGAATAGCTTCTGGCTTCTCAGAGTAAGGTATCCTTCCCTCTCCCATCTCTCCTACTGCTTGGCAGCTCCTTCACTCAACATGCCGGTCACAGAGCCAAGCCTGGAGCCCCTGTCCTTCCTGAAGGCGTGCTGAGCTCCCCCCCACCCCCACCCCCCGGTCTGGTTCTCTCAGCACTAAGGTTTCAGCTGGGCAACCTGAGTCTGGTCTTCAGAGATGTGCAGGAGTCAAGGAGAGGAAGCAGCAGACTTTCTGAGACAGTAAACAGACCATCTAAGAGAGTTAGGAGGCAGAACGACAGACCTCCTGCGATGCCTTTTAGCCAGGGGGTCCCTCCTTGGGAGAGTTGCTACTCTCGTAACCCTCTGCAGCTGGATGGTTCCCTGGCCAGAGAGCAGCACCTGTGTAGGGAGGACGATTTTTCTCCTCCACTCCTGGTAGCCTTCCCAGTGTGCGGCTCAAGTCCAAATCATGTGCTCTCCTGTACCACCTGGTGGTTTTCTGGGGGAATGTGAGGTTTTCAAAAACCGCGTGATCTAAGTGGTTTATTTCATCAGTTGGTTATCTGTCCATTGTTCATCCATCTGTCACATGTTTTTGAGTACCAGCTCTGTTTTAGGTTCTCTGTTCGAGTCTAGGAATAACCAAGATGAAGCCCTTCCCTTTAAAGAGCCTTTTTATTGGGGATACAGAGTGGCTTTTGGAATGACTGCGAAGTGACAAGCACTTTAATTAGGAGGCATGAAGAGTGTTCAGGAGTGCAGACAGGGGGCACATAAGTCATCCTTGGCAGGTCCTGAGGAGAGAGGGCAGAGTCAAGGGGTGTTCTGGAGAGAAGTTGATCTGTGCCGAAGTCGGTCAGCGTGATGCACGAAGTGATCGGGTTGAAGCCCTGTTTGCTGAACCAGAGCACAGGGGAGGGTGATGCGAGATAAACCAAGGGAAGCCATGGGAAGGGAGGAAGTGGACGGGGTCCAGAAATTCACCTGAGGTTGGGGGCTAGTGTCCGGCCCAGCTTCCAGGAAAAAACTGCTGAAATCTGAGTCAGAATCCTTTGGCTTGCCGCACATCCTGGCACCCGAGGCTCCTCAGCCTCCGGGTCTTCAGAAGCATGACCTTGTCCCCCAGGGGAAGCCCTGGAGCCCTGCCCTCTCACCCTACACCCTCCGTCAAAGGTGGGAGGTGGCGGGTGTGCAGATGAGAACAGGCTTCAAGTTGCTGCCAAATGAAACAGAAATAGAACAGTGTATCCATTTTGTTGGTGGCTATTAGTCCAAAAAAGCTGGAAGAATTCTGGGGAAATGACCCCATGGTGGAACAGCAAACTAGACCAATTTTAAAGATTCATGTTTCAGAACCTCGGTAATATTTTTTTTTAATTTATTTTAAAAATATGTTTTTATTGACTTTTGGGAGAGAGAGATAGAAACATCTATGTGAGAGAGAAACAAAGATCGGCTGCCTCCTGCACGCCCCCTACTGGGGATCGAGCCCGCAATCCAGGCACGTGCCCTGACCGGGAATCGAACAGGGACCTCTCAGCCCATGGGACGTCTCTCCATCCACTGGGCCACACCGGCCGGGCGAACATTGGTAATCTGTGTTTGAGTGTCAGCTGTAGGCCATTCTTGATCTTGTCTCTCGGGAGGAAGGGAAAGGTTTGTCTCTTAAGAACCCCTCCAGGCTCCTTGGACTGCCTCCTTTGACCCTGCCCCTGAAGGCCCTGGAGTGACTTCTCCTGTTTGAGGATGTAAACAGTGGGCTGTCTCAATGCTGCTCATTCTGCCAGCCCCTAGAATCCCCTTCTCCTGGGCTGTTATCTCCGCACCGCCTTTTCTCCAAAGGGACACACCAGAGACTGCCATATCGTAGCCGCACAAGGTATCTGCAGAGATCATTCACTTAAAAAAAAAAAAAGCCCTTTGGGCTAAGCTTCACCTATCTAACCCCTGATCCCTAGTACGGACGCCTTCGCCCCGTCCCCCTCCCTGGATCAGAGGACATCGGTGTGATCTTATCTCTGTACCCCTACCCCAGACACACTCACACGCAGACCCACTCAGCACATGCGGCTCAGAGACGCACTTATTACTGGCCAGGTGTACGGCATCTTCCTTGGGCCGCTGTTTGTTTTCATGACTGTTCTGTCCAGAGTCGCCCTTCTTCCTAGAGCAGTGGTCTCAGTGCGGGGTGGTTCTGTCCTCCAGGGGACAGCTGGCAATGTCTAGAGACTTTTTTTTTTTTAATAATTTATTAATTTTTTATTTATTTTACTTTTTAAATAGTTATTATTTTTATTATTATTACAGAGGTCGCCCCTTTTAGAGACATTTTTGACTGGTGGCAGAAGTGGGCGCTGCTGGCATGGAGTGGGTAGGGGCCAGGATGCTGCTGCTCCTCCTACCATGCCCGAACTGCTCCCCACACACAGAATTGTCGGGTCCCAGGTGTCCCCGGGGCAAGGCTAAGAAACCCTGGTTTAGAACTTCGATCTGAAGGGACCCTTGCATCCTTCCAGCCCCGGAGGATTGCTAGAACCAACCATGAGTTCAAGAAATAACACACTTGTATTTCTTTCCACAGCTGAGCTCTGTCTGGGAGGCCACGTTAGAACGACTGGAGGCAGCGAGACCCCGAGGGCTGGGGACCGGGGAGCGGGGCCCAGCGCTGAGGATGGCCAGGCCGCAGCCGCCGCCCTGGGCCCACGCAGCCTTCCTCCTCTGCCTCCTCGGCCTTGGCAGGGCCATCAAGATTCCTATGGATCGTGAGTTCTGCTTCTTCCTCTTCTATTCTCCTGATTTGGGGCAGAGGCGTTGGAGGGCAGAGGAAAGTGGAGGGCAGATTTTGCAGAAGGTTGGGGGAGGGGAAACAGCGGCTTCGGATGTGGAGCTGGGTTCCCCGAGAGTGGAAGCAGGAGGGCTGTGCTTCGGAACTTGGGGCTGAGTCTGCAGCGTGGTCTCGGAGTGACTGGGGCTGCCTGGGGCCTGCTGCGCAGGACGGGAAGGGGCCGCGTCTGGAAGTCTGAGTGCCCTCTGTGGCCTTCACTCGCCCATCAAAGCAGAGTTTCGAGGGACCAAGTGAGTGGATGGTTCTTACCGGCCTGATTCCTGAGCAAGGTCCTTCAGGCCCTCTTGGCTGAACCGATCAGGAGGATGGATGGCCGGGAGAGCGTTGGGAAGAGGATTATTTTGCAGAAGATTGGGGCTACATGAGATGTTAAAATAGAGCCCCAGTCAGTCTGGCCAGTGTGGCTCAGTGGTTGAGCATCGACCCATGCACCAGAGGTCGCCGGTTCAATTCCCGGTCAGGACACATGCCCAGGTTTGTGGGCCCGATCCCCAGTAGGGGGCATGCAGGAGGCAGCCAGTCAATGTTCTCTCTCATCAATGTTTCTATTCTCTCTCTCTGTAAAATCAATAAAGGAAAAAAAATATATATAGAGAGAGAGAGAGCCCCATTATCATGCCCCTGTGGGAGAGCCGGGCACGGATTCCTGCTGTTCTCATCTCTTCCCCAGTAAAGTTGAAAAGTAAAATCCGTGTCATTCTGTGTCCCATGGGTGGGGGCATTATTTGGCCATTAGAATCATAAAGCAAGGGGTTTAGAGTGCTGCTCTAACGGTCTCCACCGCCGTGCCTGTGGTTACGTTCATAAAGGCCCATTGACTGGCAGCCGTGCCCCTTGGCCCTGCCTTTCGCTGTGCGCCACCTTTGCCACAGTTCGGGCACTCCTGCCAGATGTCTTGCATCCCCGTGCTAAAATGTGGGCACACCAACTCCTGTTCCCTGATTCCAGGAATCGATGGAACCCACATGATGCCAATGTTGACTTGGGCTCCCTCCAGGTGACAGATGTCTGGGGAGGGGTAGGAGGGTTATACAGCTCCGCTGAGCTCTCCAAAGCCAGACCCTGGGGCCTGGAGCTAGCAGAGCTTAAAGAAGAGTTGCAGGTGTCTCAGCCCCCCACCCCCACCCCACCTCACGAGTAATAGCTGCCCCAGAGGAGTGGATGTGTTGGGTGAGAGGAGGCCAGGAGAAACTATAGGGTAGTCCCAGAAGATGGACAAGGCCCCCGCTGCCCTCCCGGTAGCCCCAAGTGTGTGTGTATGTGTTTGTGTGTGTGTGCGTGCACACACAGACACCCCAGGAGGGGGACCAGGGAGTTGTGAGAGGAAGTGTTCCATGGAGACCATCTGTCCTGCTGGCTCAAGGAGAATTTCTCATCAACAGTCCCAGGCAGACAGTCTACTAAGGAGCATGATGAGGCCCTCCCTCCCTGGGAGACAAGGGGCTGCCGAGGACACTGGGTTATCAAGGAAGTGGGGAGGCTTATCCCTCTTCTGCCACTTTGCCTCCCTCGCCCTCCTGCCACTTGGATCCCCAGGGCGAGTAGGTGAGGAGTTCCTGAAGGTGAACCTGTGAAAGGCTTTGACATCTGTGCTCAGACTCTGGGTCTCTGGAGCTCTACCAAGCCAGGTGACCAAGCAGTCAGTCTTCTTCAAGTGCCACCTGTGCAGCACAGAGCTGCGAGTGCCCTGGCCGTCCCACCACCATCTCCCCGCGTGAGGAGGGCCTGGAGCGTCCACCCTTTCTGTGTTCCACTCGCAGAAACTCAGGCCCTTGCTCGGTTAGAGTCACACGGCAGATGAGTGATGGAGTCCCAAGAAGAACCCAGGTCTCTTGACGACCCCCAGTTTGGTGTTCACCATGCCCCACTCCGACCGCTAGCAAACCTCCTCCTTTTAGTTCTTCAAGCTCCCCGGGTAGCAGCTGCACGAGTCCAGCCGAGAGCCGGGTGCTTTACAGCGTCGTGGCCTGTGGTCTCGCAGCTAATCCATGAAGCACATATTGTCCTTAGCTGACAGGTTAGAAATCTGAGGTCTAGGGAAACAAGCTGTTTCCCCAGCTCCTGAGTGGCAGGGCCAGCGTGTGACCACAGCGCCTCTCTGAACAAGGAGGTGAGTCCATCTGGGGCACGTTCCAGGCTGTCTCACGAAGCTCACGCTGCCTTACGCACCCCCCTGGGGACTGCAGGCACAGCGGCCGTGGCGACTTCTCCCAAATGTGTCTACAAAAGCTGGACACAAGACAGGAGAAAGGCAAGCCCTCCAGCTGCCCTGGGATGAAGTCCTCTGCAGCCTGGCTGCCCTCTCCCCCTTCCCAGGTCATCTGAATCCATCCTTTCTTCTTGCTCAGTGGAAGAGGCTGGGGAAAGATCAGGCATTTCTTCCCCCCGACCCCCGCTTTATTGAGATATTATTGACATATGTATGTTTAAGAAGTACAGCTTGATGATTTGCTACACAGATAAATTACGAAAAGATTACCACGGTAGGGTTACTTAACACATCCACCCCCGCACATAATTAGCTTTTTGTATGTGTGGTGATAACTTATAAGGTCTACTCTCTTAACAACGTTCAACTATACTTATAGTACAGTCATACCTCATTTTATTGTGCTTCACCTAATTGTGCTTCACAGATAGTGTGTTTTACAAATGGAAGGTTTGTGACAACCCTGTCTTGAACTAGACTGTCGACCCCATTTTTCCAACAGCTCCTTGGGTCTCTGAGTCTCATTTTGGTAATTCTTGCAATATTTCAAACTTTTTCATTATTATTATATTTGCTGCGGTGATCTGTGATCAATGATCTTTGATGTTACCAATGTAATTGTCTTGGGGCACCAGGCACCACACCCATATACAATGGCAAACTTAAGATAAATGTTGCATGTGTTCTGACTGCTCCACTGATTCCCTGAGACACAACAGTATTGGAAATAGGTCAGTTAATAACCTCACAATGGCCTCAAAGTGTTCAAGTGAAAGTAAAAGGCACCATGTCTCACTTTAAATCAAAAGTTTGAATCGATTAAGCTCAGTGAGGAAGGCACATCAAAAGCCAAGATAGGCCGAAAGCTGGGCCTCTTGTGACATTTAGCCAAGTTGTAAATGAAAAGGAAAAGTAATTGAAGGAAAAGTGCCACTCAGTGAACACGCGAATGATAAGAAAGCAAAGCAACCTTATTGCTGCTATGGAGAAAGTTATAGTGGTCTGGGTAGAAGATCAAACCAGCCTCAATATTCCCTTAAGTCAAACCCTAATCAAGAGTAAGGCCCTGACTATTCAATTCTGTGAAGGCTGAGAGGGGTCAGGAAGCTACAGATGAAAAGTTTGAAGGTAGCAGAGGTTGGTTCATGACATTTAAGGAAAGATGTTGTCTTCATAACATAAAAGTGCAAGGTGAAAGAGCACGTGCTAATGTAGAAGCCACAGTAATTATCCAGAAGATCTAGCCAAGGTAATCCATAGAGATCGTTCCACTAAACAACAGATTTTCAGTTTACATGAAACAGCCTTCTATTGGAAGAAGATGCCATCTAGGACTTTCAGAACTAGAGGGGAGAAGTCAGTGCTTGGCTTTAAAGCTTCAAAGGACAGGCTGACTCTCTTGTTAGGGGCTAATGCAGTTAGGGACTTTCAGTTGAAGCCAGTGCTCACTTATCATTCTGAAAATCCTCGGGTCGTTAAGAATGATGCTAAATCTCCTCTGCCTGTGCTCTGTGAATGGACAATAAAGTCTGGCGACAGCACATCTGTTGACAACATGTTTAATGAATATTTTAAGCCCACTGTTGAGACCTACTGCTCAGAAGAAAAGATTCGTTTCAAAATGTTACTGCTTATTGTCAATGTACCTGGTCACTCAAGAGCTGTGATGGAGATGCACAATGAGATTAATGTTGTTTTCATGCCTGCTAACACACATCCATTCTGCAGCCCATGAATCTAGGAGTAATTTTTACTTACAAGTGTTATTATTTTAAAAACACATTTTTGTAAGGCTATAGCTGCCATAGATAGTGATTCTCTGATGGATCTGGACAAAGTAAATGGAAAACCTTCTTGAAAGGATTCACTATCACAGATGCCATTAAGAACATCCATGATACATGGGAAGAGGTCAAGATATCAACATTAACAGGAATTTGCAAGAAGTCGATTCCAGCCCTCATGGGTGACTTTGAGGGGTTCGAGGCTTCAGTGGAGGAGTAACTGCAGATGTGGTGGAAAGAGCAAGGGAACTAGAATGAGAAGTGGAGCCTGGAGATTTGACTGAATTGCTTGAACGGACGAGGAGTTGCTTCTTACGCATGAACAAAGAAAGTGGTTTTCTGAGACGGAATCTACTCCTGGTGAAATGCTGTGAAGATCGCTGAAAGGGCAAAAGGGATTCAGAATATGACATGACTTAGCTGTGAGAGCAGCAACGGAGTTTGAGAGGATTGACTCCAATTTTGAAAACAGTTCTTTGGGTAAAATGCTATCAAACAGCATCACATGCTACAGAGACATCGTTTGTGAAAGGAAGAATTCATCAGTGTGGCAGACTTTACGGTTGTCTTGTTTTAAGAAATTGCCACAGTTAACCAACCTTCAGCAGCCCCCACCTTGATCATTCAGCAGCCATCGACATCAAGGCCAGACCCTTGAAGGCTCAGATGATGGTTTGCATTTTTTTAGCAACATAATTTTTAAAATTAAGTTATGTACATTGTTTTTAGACATAATGCCATTGCACATTTAATAGGCTATAGTATAGTGTAAACATCACTTTCTGTATGCACTGAGAAACCAAAAAATTTATGTGATTCACTTTATTGCAATATTGGCTTTGTAGTAGTGGTCTGGAATCAAACCCGCAGTATCTTCCAGGTATGCGTATACTGTTATTTATAGTCGTCGTGCTGTAAATTAGATCCCCAGAACTTATCCTTCTGATAGCTGGAAGTTTGTACCTTTTGGCCACTATCCCTCACCCCCTAGCCTTTGGCAACACCACTCTATTCTGTTCCTTGAGTTTAACTTTTTTAGATTCCACTTACAAGTGAGAACATACAGTATTTGTGTTTCTCTTGTCTGACTTATTCCACTTAGCATACTGCCCTCAAGGTCCATCCATGTTGTGGCAAAAGGCAGGAGATAGCTGCACCCCCTCTTCCTTGCAGCACTCTGTTCCTTGGCACCCTATTATTCACCATAGCCAAGACATGGGAACAACCTAAGATTTGGCACTCTTAACTTTCCCTAAGTGCTGAGGCGGGGGGAGGGAGCTTGGGGGCTCAGGCCAGAGGCTGCCCTGCCAGGTGTGCCCTTCTGCTCCCTCGCCCCTTCAGGGGCATCGCCCATGTCTGGAGGATAGGGCATTGCTCCTGCTCTGGCAGGTGTGGGTGCAGCAGGCTTCCAGGAACAGAGCCCTGGGCTGCCACACAATCCCTCATTGAAGTGCCAGCCTCCAGTCCCCGCCGCTTCGCCAGCAGGGTCCCCACCTCCCCTTACCAGCCTCAAGCGGAACAGTGTGACCTTTGAAGAAAGCCAAGAGTCACCTCATCAACCAAAGAGGGTTTGCCAAAAAATGAGTCTGCTGGCAGCTTGCCCCGCTGTCTCCTTCCCCACATCACGATACTCAGCATTTTCCTCCTAGGACCCCACAGAGGAGGGCAGTGGTATGGGAGAGCACCATCCTCCCAGTCAATGCTGCAGGATGGGGTGGCCTCAGCCACACACTCACACACACTCGCTCCGTCCTCCGAGGGAGGGCGCCAGAGGCCACAGGTATCAGAGTCGGGAGCAAGAGAGCATGTGCACACTGGTGGTGGCATCTGCCCCCCCACCCCGCCCCGCCCCTCCCACAGAGCCTGTTGGGAGATTTTCCTCGTCTTGGGAGCCAAAGGAACAAACTTATTCTCCACTCTACCTTCGTCCCCCAGCAAGTTCCACAGGCGAGGAGGGCAGGGGTGTAACACAGGATGGAGAAGGGGGTCACAGGATTAGGCAGCAGGCTCCACTGTCTGCTCCCTGTGGCTGCTCGTCTTCTGGGTCATTGTGTCCCTGGAATAAATTCCTGGGTGGCACAGTGGTGGCTGCAGATGTCATTACCTCTTTAGGCAAGTAGAGTCTCAAGAGGCCCCTGACCTCAGTGTGGGGCTGGGGACAATATCCAGCCAGCTCTGCGTGCCCTGAGAGTCGCTGCTCCCTCAAGGTCTCCCCTCTTACTTACCTTTGTCCAAAATGTCAAGGAGAACAGAGTCCCAAGACCCCTCCTGGCCAAGCATGGATTTGTAAAAATATTTCTTTTTTGTTTTTTTTTAAATTGATTTTAGAGAGAGAGGAAGGGAGAGGGAGGATGAGAGAGAAACATCGATGAGAGAGAATATCGATCAGCCGCCTCCTGCATGCCCCCCGCTGGGGATCGGGCCCACAACCTGGGCATGTGCCCTGACCAGGAATCGAGCCGGTGACCTCTTGGTGGATGGGTCAACACTCAACCAGTGAGCCACACCAGCAGGGCTGTAAAAAGAATTCTGGGTCAGACAGCAGAGGAGCTGGTTCTCATTCCAGTCCTGGAACAGACTTCCTGTGTGATCTTGACCAAGGACTTCCCTTACCTGGATTTGAGATTCCCTGGACAATCTCTAGGGATCTTTCCACTGAACCAGCATTTGATCTGATGAAAGAGAGGCTTGAAGCCCGCATGGGCAGAGCAGAGCCTTTGTCAGGCTTCCCATCCAGGGTGAACTGTCTGTGAGGACCCAGGAGACACCGACTGTCTCTTGTGATGGAAAAACCGGGGGCCTGGCTGTGGTCAAAAGGAGCGGGTCCGGTGTCAGCCCCGCTTCTCCTGAAAGTGGCCCCTTCTCCCAACCCTCCCCCCACTCCCCGTGAGAGGACATGCCATCTAAAACCAACCCCGCTGCCTTCAGTCCTTCCAGAAAATCCTGTATGGTGTAGAGCGTGTGTTCAGAAACCTAAGACTTCCGCTTTGCCTCTGGACATTTCATTTCTGTTTGTTTCTTACCCCGGGAGCCAGGCTAGTGGTACAGCAGACAGAACCTCTCTTCTGTGCTCGAACAGGCCACACACACCGGGCCCACCTGAAGGGTTAATTTGAACCTTTCCATGGGTCTTCCTCTCAAGATTCTCATGTCCATAAAAGCATGTATGGTGGGACACTCATTCCTGCACCCTCCACCTCCCCTCTCCGATGTCTGTCCTCTCTCCTGTGCCTCGTCCTGCAGCTCTTGGTCCTGCTTTAACTCTGCCTTCTCCCTTTCTGAGAAACTGGCCCCTTTCCAAGTCCCTAAACTCCTCTTCCGCTTCTCGCTGTGGTCAAGTCAGAAAGTGTCCAGGTCACCGTGGCTCAGCAGCAGCCTCTGCTTCTCCCAGGCAGCTCTCCCGAGAAAGTCAGCTCCCAGCTCCGTAGCTGACACCTGCACCAGCGTGAAGGAGAAAAGCATCTCAGCCCGGCTGTGTGGCTCAGTGGGATGAGCATGGCCCCATGGACTGAGAGGTCCCAGTTTGATTCCCAGTCAGGGCACATGCCTGGGTTGCAGGCTCGACCCCCAGTAGGGGGCGTGCAGGAGGCAGCCGATCTTTGTTTCTCTCTCACATCGTTGTTTCTATCTCTCACTTTCCCTTCCTCTCTCTCTAAAAAGTCAATAAAAACATTTAAAAAAAAAAAAAAAGAGCCCTGGTCAGTTTTGCTCAGCGGTTAGAGCATCAGCCCACAGACCAGAGAGTCCCAGGTTCGGTTCCTGCTAAGGGCATGGGCCTCGGTTGCGGTTTGTCCCCAGCCTCAGTTGGGGTCATGTGGGTGGCAGCCAGTTGGTGTGTTTCTCTCGCATCGATATTTCTCTCTCTCTCTCTCTCTCCCTCCTTCCCTCCCTCCCTCCTGCTCTGTCTGAAGATGAATGCAAAAATGTCCTCGAGTGAGGATAAAAAAAAAGAAAAAGGAAAATAAAAGCATCTTATTTTCTGATCTAATCACAAGGAAAAGGTATCTTTAAAAGTTATAGCAACAGGTGTTCTCTTTTCTGCGGACAAATCTCAACCAAGACCATGTTCATACCATCTGAAACCTTGTATTCAAAGTGTGACCACAGTCCACCAGCCTCCGCATCACCTGGTGCTTGTCAGAAATGCAAGATCTACTGAATCAGAACCTGCATTTTAACACCCCCCCCCCCCATGACTCCTATGCTGGTCAAAGTTGAGAAACATACACACCTGTACAGAGGCATCTCAGGTGTGGGCTGGGACGGTGTGTGGCATCTGTATATTTACCCCTTTTGCAGAAAGCGTGGGAGGAGTGGTGGGCTCTGCTTCGTCCCCAGATGTCCAGCAGGGGTTTCCATGGGGCAGTGGACTGCAGACAATCCGTCTGTCCTGAGAGTTTTCCAAAGAAGGGGACAGGGAGGGAAGAAGGTGCTTTCATTTGTGGAAGAGAACAGGGGCGGGGGGAGGAGCGAGGCCTCGGGACCCCCCTGGGCCGTCGGGGCTTTGTCGTGTGGCGGTGGTTCCCATCCACCCTGGCGCCTCAGCCTCACCCTAGCACTGTTGTCCAAGGAGCATCTAGAAGTGACTGGTGGCATCTTCAGAGCCCGGCCCCTTTGGAGCAGTGCTGCCGCTTTAGACATTTGGGCTTTCCTGGTGACATCTTTATTTGGTCAGAAGCTGGTCTTTCTGCTCCACTGTATGGCTTGGTCTCGGGGGAGGCATCGCCTTCTCCGTGAAGCGCTCGCTGGGTCCCTCCGCACTCCAGCTTGGCTCTCCCTGGAGCTGTGCAGCTGGCAGCAGAGGACCCGGCACAGTGCCCTCCCCGAGCCGTCCTCCCTCCTCCCTGCATGCTGGGGCGCGAGGACACCTGGGCGATTGGGCGTGTGCGATAACCGATGTCTTCTTCTCTTCCCCACAATGCTAACCAATTGGAATAACAGCAAGCATTCAGAATGAGCGTAAGTCCCGGGCGCCCCTCTGCACCTGTGCCTCTGGGAGGCGGGAGGGCAGGCAGGAGGGGCGGGAGGCCAGGAGAGGGCACAGCCGGGATTCTTGGTCTCTCCACCCTGCCTGCTGGGGCTTCTTGACACCAGAGCTCCGCAGTGAGGCCCCTACCACATGGGAAGGGAGGAGACTCAGACTATGGAAAGGCAGGTGGGTACGAAGGGCCACTGCTTTCCGGTCCTCAGGTGGCTGGCAGGGGGGCACCAGGGAGAAGTGCAGCTCAGGACCAAGAGGAGGAGCTGCTCTTTGGGCTGCAGACAAGTCCCTGGGAAATTCTCCGGGGACTAAAGCCTCTTTCAGCTCCACCCTCACCACAGTTTGGCCATCTGTTGACCCTCCGGGGCTCAGAACCATCACAGCCCCGAAGTTCTGAAAATCTAGCTGCTTTTTGTTCCTGTGTTCATTCAGCAAACATTTATCAAGAACTGCTGTGCTCTAGACACTGTACTAAGCCCATGAGAGGGGGTCAGACCAAAGCCTGGCCTTCAGTTTCTTACAGGGATATTGTGACACCTTAAAAGGATTCTTCTTAATGCATAGTCTGTGACAAGCACCCCTTTCCCGCGGTCTCTAGAAGGGGGCACTGTCCGCCCTGTGCTTGCCTGCTTTTCTCTGGGGCTCCCCAAGCTCTTAATTTCAGCCATTCTTGGAGCAGGGACCTGGGCCGGTTCCTGCAGCCCTGACTGCCTACTGTCTGCCCTGTTGCAGTGTCCCAGCCCCCAACCATCACCAAGCAGTCAGAGAAGGACCACATTGTGGATCCCCGCGATAACATCCTGATCGAGTGCGAAGCGAAGGGGAACCCTGCCCCCAGGTGAGTGTACTGGGAGGAAACCCCAAGCGGTGGTCCACAAACAGGCCTTTTGAACGACTCCCTCGCCCCAGGCCTGATGATAGTTGGCATCTGACACATTAAATTTATCCACGAAGGCCCCACCAGGTGGAAAGTACAGTTTGGGAACTTAGCCGGTGAGGAAACTGGGGACCAGGAAACTAGAGGCTTCAGGTCACACCGGAAGCCGGGACTAGATACGTTTTCTGACTTTTAGTATCACACTGCCTTATGTTCCCGTCACCCCCATGCTTGGCCCAGAGGAAGTCCCTCTGCCTAGCTAGCTCGAGTCTTTCATGCTGAGCTCGTCTCTGCTTGGGTTCACGGCAGCATCACATGGGGTGTCAGCAGACAGGAGGTGGAAGCCTGCCGTGTGCCGGGCTCCGAGTTCGACTTGTTCCTCCCCCTGTCCTGCTTGACTTCCTCACTGCCCTCTGGGGAAGGACCCATGTCCTGGGGGAGTAGACGTGAAATGGAGACGCAGAGAGACTCAGTGCCTTTTCCGAGGTCCTCAGCCTGAGGGTGGCAGAGGCTGGCTTAGAACAGGCTTGTTTACTGGACGGGAAGCACTGGCGATACGGAGGCGGTGCGCTGCCCTTCCCCACGTTTAAAGCAACTTCCACAGGCTGGAGTTTTCGGGAACCTCATGCCAGATTCAGACCCAGTCGTGACAGGACCCTGTGTGTGTGTGTTGGGGAGGGGGGGGTGTCAGCAGGAGAAAGGAGGCAGGGTGGAGCCTCAGGTGTGTGGCAGCCTTGTTTTGCCCCCACCCCGGCCCCCAGCTTTGCGTGAGCCCGTGTAACAGGGCCGTGGGCCCGGATCAAGCAGCACCTCCCCCGTCCACAGTGGGAGAAGGAGTCACCCTGAAGGGTCAGGCAGGGCTTGGGTGACCTTGCTTCTGAAGTCTGGGCTTTTCCCCCATGGTGGGCTTTTCTTTGTGGGGACAGCGGCTCTGTGATGCTGAGCAGCCACCACCGCTCCTGCTTCTGTTCAGGTTATAGCCTGGGCGGCCCCAGACTCGCGTCCCCCAGGAGAAGCAGAGGGACGTGCCGGGCCTTCGCCCCGGACTCGGGTCATGAAGCCTGCCCCTCCTGGGCCGTAATGTGCGGCCACTGCCTGACAGTCTCCACCCACTGAGCAGGGGCCCAGAGAATCCGAACCAGGGCACCTTGGCTTTAGAGCCGATGATCAAATAAGGAGGCAGGAGGAGCAGGGAGCCTGGTTGGAAGTTGGGAGTGCCCTGGGGTGGAAGCAGCGGCCGGCTGTGGATTTTAACAAAATCAGAATCACTGCCCCCTCCTCCAAAAACATAATCCCCCGGGGCTACTGGGATCTCTCCCACGGGGAACCATACCCCCAGCCTTGGCTGGGTAAAGTGCTGTCAGGGACCTGCCCCCAGAGATTCACATGGGGTGCTGGGGGTGGGGCTGGGGATGCTGCCTGACTCCCGGTGGTCCTGCCGCTCCGTCCGGGCTGGGGCCTGTTGGTGTGATGGTGTGGTTTCGTGACTGAGTCAGGGATTAGGGTTCTGAGATGGTCACCTGGAGCCCCAAACCCACCCTGTTATTCTTTGATGCTCCTGTCCTCCCCCTGCCCCCCGCCCCCATTGTCCACAGCTTCCACTGGACTCGAAACAGCAAGTTCTTCAACGTCGCCAAGGACCCCCGCGTGTCCATGAGGAGGAGGTCTGGGACCCTGGTGATCGACTTCCGCAGCGGCGGGCGGCCAGAGGAGTACGAGGGCGAGTACCAGTGCTTCGCCCGCAACAAGTTCGGCACCGCCCTGTCCAACAGGATCCACCTGCAGGTGTCCAGTGAGTAGCACGGGGCAGGGTGGTGAACCTGCTCCGGGGCACGTGGAGGGAGGGCATGGAGCCTCATCCTAGAAGGGCCACCCTGCCCTGGGCCTGTTGGTGCTTTGGGGCCCTGCAGGTCCTGCTGGCTTTTCTGCCTCTGAGCAGGGCGCACCTCCCCCAACCCAGAAAGAGTCCTTGAAAAGGAAGCTTCCGAAACAGTCTTGAACAACTCACCGGCCACTCTGGGCACGGGAGGAGGGGAAGGAGCGGAGCCTCTGCCGACAGGCACCCGTTCAGACAGAAGGCGTCTCTGCTCTGCTTGGACTTGGGGGCCCTGTCTCTCCCCCGTCTTGCTTGTTGTCCTGCTTCCTCTTCCTCTCCTCACACGCTTGCCTCCAACCCTACTCCTTGCCCCAACCCCAGCCATCACCCTCACTTCATCCTCCGCTCTGTTTCTCCCCAGAATCTCCCCTGTGGCCCAAGGAAAATCTAGACCCAGTGGTGGTTCAAGAAGGCGCCCCCTTGATACTCCAGTGCAATCCGCCACCCGGACTTCCGTCCCCGGTCATCTTCTGGATGAGCAGCTGTAAGTCTTGGGGGCCTGGTAATTTATGTCTGTTTTAATTTTAGGGAGCAGGACGGGTGTGTGAAAGGGGAGGGCCTTCCCTGACTCCAGAAGACCTTGACTTCTGAGGAGCAGATGTAAGGTGGCCCCAGGACTGAGAACGGGCCCCGTGGAGAGGCCGCTTGGGTCCATTGCCTAAGCCCAGCTGCTAATAGCTGTGTGATCTTGAGCAAGTCGCTTAACATCTCTGGGCCTCAGTTTCCTCTTCTTGAAAAATGAGACTGATGTTGTACTTTATCTAATAGGGTTATTGTAAGGATAAATTAGTTACTACATCCAAAGTACTTGTAACAGGGCCAGACACACAGTCAGCGCTCAGTAATATTTGTGACGAGGAGCAAAAGTAAAAGGAAGGAGGAGGAAGAGGAGAACTTGTGTTTTTCAATTCACCGGTTGAAGGCAGGTGGCTACCAGGCCTCTTTCGATCCTCGGCTGGTCTGGATTCGCTCTCGTTGGGACAGAAGTGGGTGTGCGGGGACGAAACCTGTGATAAAGGCGTGGCGGGGAGGTAGGCTGTCTGGACAGGGGACGGTGTGCCACCATTCAGAACCGTCCCAGCTCACTTTCGGAATGAGGCTCATTTAACCACTCTGGGTCTCAGTCTCTTCCTCTGTTTTCTTTTTTTTTATCCTCACCCGAGGACATTTTTGCATTTATCTTCAGATAGAGTGGGAGGGTGAGAGGAAGAAAGAGAGAGAGAGAAACATTGATGCAAGAGAGACATATCGAGTGGTTGCACCCACATGACCCCAACCGGAGCCGGGGACAAACTGCAACTGAAGTATGTGCCCTTAGCAGGAACCGAACCCGGGCCTCTCTGGTCCACGGGCCAATGCTCTAACCGCTGAGCCAAACCGGCCAGGGCTCCTCCTCTGTTTTCAATCAAACTACAGTTGGGGGCGCATTATGAAGGTAAATAGAGGACTACTATGTATCTATCTTCTTGGCTTCCCTTCCTCCCCCTCCTTCCCTTCCTCCTTCCCTATATATGCATCCCTCTGTCCACCTGCATAGCCTCCTGCCTTCCTGCCCATCCTCCATCATTCTCTCCATTCCTGAATTCTTACCAGCCTGCTTCCCAAAGAGGCTGCCTTGTCAGCGAGGCAGCTTGCGAGTTGTTTCGCAGAGTGAGAGGTTTTGTGCCCAACCGCTGCTCCTCACCGTGGAGCACATCAGTGGAGGAGGCTGCCTGGCACGGACTGGGCTCGGTCTGTTGGCTAACAGTCCAGACCCTGCTGTCTCATCCCCTGCGTGACGCTCACCACACTGCATCACACTCATTCCTCCTGAGCGGATCTCATGACCTTCGTCTTCTTTCCGTCCTCGCTGACATCCCAGCACAGGCCCCCATCGACATTGCCCTGGGTTCCAGTCATTACCCATAACTGGCCCTCCTGGTCTTTCCCGCTCAAAACCTTTCATCGTCTCCTCCATCATCTCAAAGTCTAGGCCCCTTTCCTGGCACACAGCGCCCTTCTGCCTCTCTAACCCTTCTGCCCCCGCCCATCCCCACGCCCCACCCTCCTCCTTGGATGCTCTCACCTTGAACACACATCGTCCCTCTCTTGGCTCCTTTCTCTTCTGCCTTGTGAATGTTACCCAGCCTTCAAGCCACAGCCCACGTCCCAGAATGGACGGACTCTCCCTTCTCCTGGGGGCTTCCCACTCACCACACGGCATTGCAATTATGTACGTACCCACTGTCTCTCCTCCGGGACTGCAGGCTCTTTGACAGCAGGGACTGTCTTTCTTACTCCTCTCTCTTCCCCCAGTGCCTGTGTGTAGTAGGCCCACAGGACATCCTTGTTAAATGACTTGAAGAGCTGACCGGCCCAGCGTTGGATAGTTGGCAGCACTGCCCATGTGCTTGGAGAAATGGTGACAGAGAACACTCGTGGGCACAGGAAGGCGCCTGCTATGAGTAGTCAGCCTTAGTATACGCCACAGACCAAACGGCCTGGGAGCCTGGCCGTTTGCATTCACATCCGGTGCAGTGCTTGGAGAAAAGATAAGCTGTGTAGTCGGCAGTCTCCGCCACTCCTGTGATGTCGTTAATTCTACAAAGCACACAGTTTTGTATTTTCCCATCTCTAAAATTGGAAGGCGCCTTGAAGTTGATGGGGTGCATCACTGATGGGTCTGCATCTTACTGTTATATTGGATGGTGCCTTTTCCTTTCTTGGGAACTGGAGGGGCAGTATGAAAAATAAGACAAGTGCATCTGACTCCCGACGTGGGAGCATCTGGAAGATGGGCCCCCTCCCCCTGGCCTCCAGGCCAGTCTGATCTTTGGTGGCATGAGCGGGAGATAGAGGAGTATGGTCAGAGCATGGGTGTGGTGGGCAGGCAGGGCTGAATCTAAATCCTACCCTCCCTGCCCAGCCGATATGGCTCAGTTGGTTGAGCGTCGTCCCATGGACCAAGAGGTTGCCGGTTCAGTTCCCGGTTTGAGGGCTCCATCCCCGGCGGGCATGCAGGAAGCAGCCTATCGATGTTTCTCTCTCATCGATGTTTTTATCCCTTCCTCCCTCTCCCTTCCTCACCGTCTAAAATCAGTAAAAACATTTTTAAAAATGTTAATCCTATTCTCCTTCACTGCGTGTGCAGCCAGAACAGTTACGTCCTCTGCTTTCTTATCTGTAAAATGGGAATAAGCCCCACCTCAGGGCTGAGAGTGAGGTCAGACCAGTCATGTGGAGCTCCTGCCCTGCCTGGCCTCACGCGGCAGAATCGTCATGATTGTTGTCACTGTCACAGTTACTGCTGACCTCCACCTACTCTGCTTCCTTACAGCCATGGAGCCCATCCCCCAAGATAAGCGGGTCTCCCAGGGCCATAACGGGGACCTGTACTTCTCTAACGTGATGGTGCAGGACATGCAGACCGACTACAGCTGCAACGCCCGCTTCCACTTCACCCACACCATCCAGCAGAAGAACCCGTTCACCCTCAAGGTTCTCACCAGTAAGTGCAGCCCCCTGCCCGGGGCTGGGGCTGAAGGCGGCAGCCCACTAGCCCACGCAGCCCCGGGAACCTGGGCCTGGGGGCAGACTCGTCCCCGGGGCTGACCTAGAAATCCTTCCAGCTCCTTGTGCCTGGAAGATGTTTAAGAGCTACTTCAAGGGCTCTTAAACATCTCCTGATTCTGAAGCCTGGAGTGCAGCGTGGTCCGGCTCTAAGCCAGTGCTTCTCAGACGTTGGTGGCGATCAGAGTCACCTGGAGAACTTGACGCCACCCCCAGGCCCAGTCCTGTTCCCCTCTCTGTGCCTCGTTAGCGCCCAGGGGGGTTTGGACGCACCTGAATTTGAGAAGCACTGCTTTGAGTGGTCATCGGCATCTCTCACGTACTCAGCTTGACCATTTCTTACATTTCTAGTCACTGTTTGCTTATCTTTATTTCCAGAATACAGCCACAGCACAGACTCTCCCAGTTAGTGGGTACACCGACATGCGTTGTGTCTGCGTCTGTGACATTCACATGGATGTTGGACCCTACGGGGTCGCTGTGTTTGCAGGTTGCAGGTCCATGTTCGGTTTCATTTGCTTTCATTTCTGTTCCCTGGTTCTGTTCGGTGCCAAAGCAGATCAGCATTTCCTGAGCCCCTGTAGCGTTGGTGCCCTCCACGGAGGAGGCAGAAGCTACTCAGTTCAGAGACACGCTTCTCGCGGGGGCTGCTGGCCTGGAGCGTGGGCCGGAGATCCTCGGCCTGTCAGGACGTTGCAAGTGGCTGTGTTGGTTTACCCCATGGCTTTATAACATGCCTTCCACAGAAGCGCCCCCTCCCCAAAGACCTTAATCTGCCTGACTCAGCTGTGAATGCTCTTTCCAATACTGTGGACGGTGGCGATCGTGAGGGAGGCCAGGCAGAGGTCACCCCGTGGTCCCCGGCAGCTTTCACAGGTCGGAGAAAAGAGGCCGCACCCTGGCTTCCTGGAGCCCATGCGACGCCTCCTGGAGGGACGCGGGGGGGGGGGGGGGCAGGGGACAGGCTTGGGTGAACTCACTCCTCACTCAGGACATGGGGGCTGACCCCTAGGGCTCTCCTTCCCTTCTGAGTCCCAGCCCACAGGGGAACAGGCCGGGCTGTCAGGAGCGCGTCCCCGTCTCCTGTTGTGGAGTTCTCTCGTTTTCCTTTCTCTTTGTTTTCTCTCCTTTTCTTTTTCATTTCTGTCTTCTCTAATTCTCCTCCCACGTTCTTACTGTCTTCTCCCTTTGACCCCATTTCACCTCTGAGCCCCGCGCTCCTGCCTCTGCAGGCCCCCACACACTGTTCTGAGCTCTCATAGTTCGAGAGCCAACAGGATGCCCAGAAGCCCAGGGACAAGCCCTGCGTGTTCCTGGCGGGTCACCCAGCTTCGGTCTGCTTGCTGCCCCTTCCCTGGCTTTCTCACTCTGGACTCCGGCCCAGAGCGGAGCCCTGGGGAAGAAAATTGGGTTGTCCGAGGTGTCGTCTCAGTGCAGGTCGAGGGTGACTGTCTGCCAGCTGGCCGGGCCGGGCAGGACAGTGTGGTCTGCCCAGGACCTCAGAGCAGCCTCCGGGGCCAGGCCGGGGCTGGCAGAGTTAGGCAGTGGGAGGGGAAGGGATGCCAAGAGCAAGATGCTCGCTGAGCCGGTCCCTGGGCAGCCTGCAGTGCCATCACCTGCCCGGGAGCTGCTTGAAGTCAGCCTGCTGTTTGAGGACCAAGCCAGGCGGCCAGGCAGAGGCCTCCGCCACCACACAAGGCAGAGGCAGGGAGGTGGGGGCGGACAGGAGCCTTCCTCTGTGGTGCTAAGCAGCTAGGGATTTCAACCACAATTAGAAGTTTCTGGACTCTCCAGAAACATCCTTTTCTCTACGGTCGGGGATGTGTGTTTCTGCCCCGTTTCTGAGTCCCCTGTGCCACTGAACACTCCAAATGCAGAGGAACCCCCGGGGCTGTGAGCAGAGCCCTGTCGGCTTCCTGGAGCCGCCCAGAGGCAGCTGTGGCCGGAGCAGGTGTGTCTGGGCACCGGCGCCAGCCCACATCTGGGCACCGATGCTTGAAATAGCACAGTTGTGTTCTCTCCGCGTCCCTGCCTGGAAGGGACACAGGCTCTTCCTTGTCCCTTCAGAAGCAGGCCTGGGGGTGGGCGGCCACGTTGGGACAGCTTCCGAGACTCAGTTCTCACCAGGGGCTCTGGCACAGTTTGCCCCTTGGGGAAGAAATCAGTCTCATCGCAGCGATGTTGTATGACCCGCAGTGAAGGAAGGGGTGTCTAACACACAGTACTGGGCAGTCTGCAGTCAGCTTGAAAATTTGGGGGGGGTGCAGTCAGAGAAAAATGGTGGAGTCAGGCAAACAAAGACGGCCTGTCCCACCTTGCCCCCGTCAGGGCAGGAGGGGTCTCCCTGAAGAGCCAACATTCCTTTTAGTGTGATTGTCTAAGTGACACTTAGAGGAGTCGAAAGGTCTCCCTGAATTTCTCAGATGTGCTCCCGAACCCACAAACTGAGGTACATTCCGAGCTTGGGTCACTGCTCTAGATGGGAGGACAAAACAGGGCCTGTCGTCTGTGTGTGTCCCTGTCCCCTCCCCCAGGAGAGGAACGTGCCTGCCCTTTGCCACTCTGCCTTATCTTTCCTGCCGGTCAAATCCCCCCCTTAGCTCCAATCCAAGCTGACGTCCCAAACACAGGCCAGGTCTTTTACCCCAAACTCTACCTTAGGGATAGTTCTAAATACTGAAAACCTTCCTCTGGGCACTAGCAGACTTGGGATGCACCTGCCTCGCAGTCCAGCAAAGAGCCAGCCCCAGTCAGCTGTGACAGGGTGGGAGCTGTCTTCAGATGTGCAAATGTTCCGGCGGGCACCTCCCTCCTCGGGCAGTGGACCGGGTCTGGTTCTCGGGGTGTCTGCTGAGCTTCCGGCAGCTGCTCCCCCCACCCTCCCTGGCACTGTCAGAACTCGAACCCAGTCGCTGGAAGGGGACCGTGGTACAAGAGTGGAGAGCTTCTTAAGGATCTTGGCATGATTTTGTGCCCTGCTTCAAAGTGTCTTTCTCACCGAGGGTTAAATGCCCAAGGGTTTTAATCGCCTAATGTTGGAACCAAGGCCACTGGTTCTCCCTGAGGAATGTCTTCACCCCAAGACAGTCTAGAGAGTGCTAAGGCTCCAGCTTAGCCAGCGGGCCTTCCCCAGTCCACAGTGCGGAACTCAAAGCACTCATGCACCTCTCTCTCTCTCTCCCCACCTCTCTCTCTCCCCATCTCTCTCTCTCTCTCTCTCTCTCCCCCCTCCTGCCCCTCCCCTCTCTCCCCATTCCCCCAGACTCCCTTTCTAATCCTAAAATCTGAACCTCAACCTAGCTCTCCCGCCTCCCTGGACCACCCCTAGCCTCCTCAGAAGGAGGCCTTTCTGCCAACAGACACATCTCGGAGACCGGGGTGGTGCCCCCTGGTCAGGTTGGGGGTGCTGGTTGCTGGTCAGCACACATTTGGTGGGTCTTCTCCTCTCATTTACCTCCCGCCCCTTGCAACTCAGCTTCTGCTCAGGTAGGACTTGGCTCCTTCCCCCGGGCTCACGAACACCCCTTTCTCTCTAGCTACCCCCAGAGCTGGCCTGATCCAGAGACCGGGGACTGAGGATTTGATGGGAAGCAGTTGTTCCAAAGACTGCTGCGGGGTGCCACTAACTCTCACCCCGTTCGTTTGACAGTACAGTAGGCCCAGGCACCTAAGGGTCCAGCCTAATTTTTTTAATTAAAAAAGAAACTTATTTTTTTTTTATTGCCTTCTTTTGCAGAATTTAACCTTTTCTTCCTTTTTTGGGCTGTTTTGTGTCGCTTGTTCTTCACCAGGCGCATTTCCTTTCTGAACACGCCGCGTCTTTCCTTTGCAAAAGACCCCGGGTGCTCTCCCGGTTGTTTTTGTGGCTTTGCCTTTCTGTTGTTCTCTCCCCGTTTATGCCTGTGCCCCTGTGACCTGTCCGTGGCCCCCTGTTTGCTCACCCTCTTTTGTTTATTGCAGACCACCCCTATAATGACTCGTCCTTAAGAAACCACCCTGACATGTACAGTGGTGAGTCGCTGTGGTAACCTTGGGAGTAACCTTGCCTGTCCTAACCCCAGTTTGCCTAACTTGACTGATACCGTGTCATTAACTCGTGCTGAGCGGCAGGTCTGACAGTTGGCCAGGCCAGGGTGCCACGTGCCACCTCCAGCACGCTGCTTGCCAGGAAGACAGTGGCCAGGTTGGGAGTTCGAGGTGGCTCATGTGGCGGCGTGTCCTCCTCGTCCGTGCAGGCCTCCAGCTGCTGGTCAGACCAGGGTGGGGCTTCAGAAGAGCTCCTTGGAGGGTTCAGAGAGACGTAGGCAGCAGTGGTAGGTGGACAGAGAATATCTGATAGGTGAGGAGGAAACAGTAGTCTGGTCCTAGGAGTGGTTCATAGAGCACAGAGGGCTGTGCAGTGTATGTTTCATTAACTCTTAAGTGTCTGGGTGTGAATCGCCTGAATGGTCTAGACATAGCTACTGGGGTGGCCATGTCACAGGCCCCTTGTCTCTTTAAAATCCGGCCCTGGCCAGTTTGGCTCAGCGGTTAGAGCGTCGGCCTGCGGTCCGGAGAGACCCTGGTTCGGTTCCCGCTAAGGGCACGTACTTCGGTTGCAGTTTGTCCCCGGCCCTGGTTGGTCGCGTGGGTGGCAGCCACTCGATGTGTCCCTTCACATCGATGTTTCTCTCTCTCTCTCCCGTCCTCTCTCTCCTTCCCACTCTATCTGTACAAAAAATGGAAAAATATCCTCGGGTGAGGATAAAAAAAAATAAAATAAAATAAAATCCGTCTGGGAAATAGTGAGAGCCCAGCTCTGAGTTCCATTTCAAGGTGAGTGTAAATGAAGTTGTCTGTCGCCCGGGCCTCCTCTGTCCTCTGGGTGTGCACGCAAGTCCAGGCCCCCAGCGCGCACATGTGCAAGTCACGGGACAGTTTCCACGAGGCATATTTCTA